TTTAAAAGAGACAAAACATACTGTTAGAAGGAGAGGCTTGTAATGCGACGCTGTGGCGCGATTTGTATAGGTGTTACAAATTTTGTTTCTTTTTTACTTAATTAGTTTTTTTAATTATGGATTTTGTTAAACGTTAATATTTTTTTATGATTATTGGCAAGTAGCGTTAGACGTGTGTTCATTTATTGTCGCGATGGTAACGACACGCTGTATACTTTCGCGTTACGTCTAGCGAGTGAGGTAGGCGGGAAGCACTTTTTTAACGGTTGTCTACGCCTGTGTATCCCGTTATGTGCCGTTATGTGTTACACGTCTAGGAGCGGCGGTAATCACTTAACATCGGGTTAAAAATTAAACTGTATGTAAGGATTATACGGAGTTTAACTTTAAATTAAAATTTCCGATTTTTAGTATTTGAATCACTCAAATTTCATAGTTACGGCACTGACATATATGCGACCATTGATGATGAACACTAATAAAAAAAATTAAGATAAAATCAACGTACACGTTTCGTTTAACACAGAGTTATAAATAAAAAATAATTATTGACATACATAGTTAATATCGTATCTCATGTCTTTGCAAACTAATGTGAAGACGACAACCCAAACACAGTTTTCATCAAAAAATGGGCCATACACCTAAAAATACCTATTTAAATGCGAACAAATTTAAAAGTAATTTTCGGCCACAAGGCGACAAAAGCGAGTACAATCGGGCTTTAATAGATCGCAGCTAGTGAAACTGGGCCAACCATCGGACCGACGGAGTTATCTAAAATAGACAGAAGCGGGTTCGACCCGAGACATACTCGTAGAGATAAGAAGAATAAACGTGTTCTTAGAACAGTATTTTTTACGGGTAAAGGTAGAAAAATCGCATCAATGGTAGTCACAGACGCTGTGCCTGGATTGACTAAGTACTAAGTAAGGCGAAAAAATATAATGAAAAAAATTATTCACAACTAGTACAACCCAAGAGGGAGGCAATTAATTAACTCTTCCTATAACTGTTCCTTCCTATTCCAAATCACTCGTACTTTCCCATTTTATTACATAATATTTTTTAGAAAAACTCGTTAAGTATTTAAAAATATGTTATTGGCATATTAAATATATTGATATATTAAAATTATGTGATTGACTACATTCTTTAATTTTCTTAGGGATATGATTTTGAGATAATCAAGTTGTAACGTGTGATTTCATCACTTTGTCGAAATTGTCGTTTTTCTAAAGACTAGGCTGCATGTGATATGAACCTTTGCCTTTTCGTAAGGTCGAATCAAAAAGTTGGGTTCATGTGTTGGTACTTGTCATTTGAGATTGCCGCCGGTTCGAATCGACATTGGATAAATTAGTTTTTGTGGATCTATTATCTTCGACCGGTAAGTAATTGCTTGGTTTTGATCATGCCAGTGGTTGTTTTCTTTACGTATTTCGTTTTCTTATCAATTCGCTTTTTTACAGTGCATGGCTAGAGGTTGAAATCAGAACACATTCCTGGTCATATTATCTGAGTGATTCCTGTCTGGAAACTCTGTACTGGATTTGTTATTCCTCGTGGTAAGATCCTTTGTTATTTTCACTGGTTTCCTACTAAAATTGTAAAAGACTTGCATTGAGTATGTATTTAGAAATCTCACATGAAGGTAGGTTGAGAATTTTATTGTCTCGTGTTTCTAAGTATGGTTTTTCGAATATCACAGGTGGATGCTGAAGGCATAGGTGGCTGGCAAGCTGGTCTGAGCTACTGCTCGATTAAATATTGTTTTTTACCTCCAGTTGGTAAGTGTTTCACATCTTATAATTGTAGGTGGATTCATATCCCTGCCTTTGTTAGTTCTACAATGTAGTGTTTGTTGGCAGGAGGTCTCCTACATACCCCCCAACAGTGTGGCTGTACACACGACACTTGGCCTGACTTTCTCTACTGGTTCTGAGCTTAACGCTGACCTGTGCACACAGGGCAGGTGTCTCTGCGGTGACATAGATTTAAAATAACTACCTGATTGGACTTTATTTTTTAAATTGAATTGCATAACTTTCATAATCTTAAATTAATTTAATTATCTAACCTTTTTATGGTCGCACAAAGTAATGTGTAGGTCCTATGTACTCACGACTCCCTGAGATACTTAATTGTAATTATTATAACAGTCTGTTCCTAACAGACAAGGCGCCCAACTTATTATTGTTATTATATTATAAAATATATTGTATCTGGGCTAATCCCGGGATTGTAACTGATGGGATAAATACAACTTCTTAACTGCTAATAAATCTTTTATTAAATCTTCCCATAATTAACTATACACCCTACCATTCATAAAAACGTTACAAAGTGTCCACTTGCTTTTAATTTAGTTTACAATAAAAAAACCGAATTCAATTCCCTTGCCCGGTCTATGTAGTTTATTTTATATTTCTTTATATCGTTATAGTTCTTTGTCAGTTTTCGTCAGGACAATTATTTATTAATGAACCTTTGTTTGGACGTTCGTAAGTGCTTAAAACAAATCTAACTCCAATAAAAATCTTTCGATGTTGACCACATGTTGCATTAAGGAAGTTCAATCTTGAAAATTTTTAAGACTCGACTAGACAATAAGTTGCCAGTTATTGTTTACAATATCAGCTGATAATGACATTGCATTAACTTTTTAAGAAGTTATAAGTTATCACTACATAGTATAAAACAAAGTCGTCCCGCTGTCTGTCCCTATGTATGCTTAGATCTTTAAAACTACACAAGAGATCTGGATGCGTTTTTTTTTACTAAATAGATTGATTTAAGAGAAAGGTTTATATGTATAATACATTGCACCCGCGCGAAGACAGGTTGGCTCGCTAGTAAAATATAATTACATCTAACGAACAAGTATTTATTTATTTAGGCTTACCCACTAAATACATACAGAACAGTATTAGTAGAAAACAGAATTATACTAATTTATTTGAATTAAAGGTATAATGTTGTGAATAGCTCTTAATAGGGTTAGGTAAAACATCTTTTGATTCACTCGATCCAATTGCATTAATTAGTACCTTCCCGACATTTCAAAGGAGTTTTTCACCGCCTCCGTCCTGCAGTACCGGCCGGGAACGGGGCCCTAATGGGCCACTCCAATTCCTTGCTATCTTCATTAAGGGAGAAAGACTCGACATACTTACCGATGACAGTTCAACTTTGCTAATGAACGTTATTTATTTAGTTATTGTAATATAGGCGGTTATGTTTACGCGTCGGTGTTGTCATTTTTAAAGATAATTAAGCACCTATTCACAGTTTGCTCGATTTTGAAATGTTTTTAAAGTCCATTATGTTTAACATCAATTATTATAATATACTAGCTTTTCGGCCGCAGCTTCGCTAACGTTGAAGCCCTTAAATAAATATATTTGCTTTAAAAAAAATCCAATAAAAATAGCTTATATTCTTTCTCAGGCTCTAGACTATCTGTGTACCAAATTTCATATAAATCGGTTTAGTAGTTTTGGCGTGAAAGCGAGACCGACAGACAGACAGACGTACTTTCGCATTTATAATATTAGTATGGATTAAACAGCACTCAGAGAACAGCATCCAAAATATATAGTTTAAGAAATACGGTCTTAAAGATATAATATGTTTATTAGACTCCATTTTCATGGTTTATAATAATAAAATAAAGAAACAAAAAATTTTATGGACCCAGACTCAACTCGCCAAACTTTTATCGCAGCCGGGTGCATGATTTACGAACTCTTAGAGTACACATAGACAAACATACATTTTTCTTTATGAGTAACTACGACTTTGTTTTATACTATGTGTATTGAAGAAGATAACGCCAAGAGAGATAATGTTTAATTAAATTAATATTGTAATATTTAATTAAACATTAAATATTTATCATAGGGTTAATGATGTATGTAGGAGCCGTGATAGCCGAGTGGTGGTCCCTTTTCTTCGCCCAATTCAATATACTTGAGCAACCAGAATTCAAATCGAGGTGATGCCGGTACTAATGAAATTGTTGATTGCCATTTCAAGTGCTCACTTATCACGCGCTCTGCGGAAAAACGTCGTGAGGAAACCTTACATATTTTCGAAATAATAACAAAAAAAATATTTCGAATATATGTAATGTCAATCCGCAGCGCGGACGCATGGTACTGACCTTCTGGACAGGAGGCTTTTGTTAAACAATCGGACAAATATAGGCGGTTACTTTACTTTCTTAACTTAAATTATGTTCATTCCTAAACCGAACTCTCAGCTTCTGGTATCATTTTAATCTATCGAACATCTTTGAAATTGGCTAGCTTAGCGCGCGTAATTCATTTAGCACAGATAAGTAAATTAGATCGCACCGGCCAAGGTTATGAAACCGATGACGCCGGCCGTATCTAGGTGCACGTTGTGAAATTTAATAACACTCAAAGTAAGGTTCTCGTTCAATGAAAACACAAGTATTATAATATTATAACATTGGCCAGTACAGCTGTAAAAACATTTCTTTGCATCATATTCGTCGTTCGAAATTTAAAACTATCCGCGCGTCGGTGCTTTATATTAGTCGTTCGAAATTTAAAACTGCCTTTGCGTCACTGGTTAATCATTTCAACAATATATTTATTTTTAAATTTTTATAATTTACTGTATATAAGTTTGCGTTATACGTTATATACCGTTATACGTTGCGTTGCACGTGCAGTTGTGAAATTCAATAAATAACACCCATGTAAATGGTTGGTGTTTAATGAAAACAAAAGTATTATAACGAACTTGTGTGAGACGTGGAAGGGGGCGAAAACAGTGTGGCGGCAACAATCCATAATCTATCTTCGGTTACGGGCGTGGGTCCAAATTTATTTCTATTAAAACACAAAAAACAAAAATGTGCGCGCTGAAATACAATAACAAATCGAAATTTCATTTCTCACATTTTGCCACAACCTGGCTGATGACAGCTGCTGGTCGTAAAAAGGTAAAAAAAAATAAAAAAAACTCACGTGCAAAACGCGTCCCCTGCGACATGACGACGGCACTCCTCTGGTCAGGGCGCAGGAGACTCTCGGCCTCCGCCCCTCCCTGGTGGGACATCTCCATAACGATTCACGCGTAGTTTGCTAATATCATAACAATGATGTCGTCATTTGTGTGCGGGCCTCGTCCTTTGTGCACTGTTTGTCGATGATCTGTCAAAGAACAACCTTTTGAGTCTTGAGGAGAATCAATCAAAAAATGATTTAATGAAACAAAAAGAAATCGATGGACAAAGTTATAGTAGATCACTTGACAAAGAATCGCAGATCGATCTATTAAAATAGTAATTAAAGCATTCGACCAAGCTTTTTGCACTAAAGCTCAAAAGACCTACTTCCTCTAAAGGGGAAGAATATTAATTTCCCGCCAAAAGAACTCTCAAAAACAGAGAAACTATCGAAAATTATACTGTTATGTCGTCTAACATTTATCATAATTACCGTACCATTCAAAACGGTATCGCACGTAGCAACTAAATTACGTGGTACGGTTGGTTATCTGACTTCTTATCCTTACAATAACAAAGGAATATTTTCAAAGCTGTTGTCGGGGATTGAAAGTTAAAACAAGTTAACAATATTTTTGTTCAATGACAAAATTAATGTTAGTTTACGAAAATAATAATCAATTATAATTTAAACAATTATGGTTTCATATTATTTATTCTGGCTAAAGCTTTAGGAATTCCGTTATATGCTTTTTGACATCATCCAACAAAAAAACAAATTTGCATTAAACTATGCTACATTATTAAATAATCAATCATACGATTAAAATGTGCTACGACATTAATCATATGCGTAACTATGATGGGAAATATGAAAGTTTAGTAATAATTACATATGGCCGCTCGATGCATAGACAATTAAAAAAAGACCACGCGGTGCATAGAGCAATCAAAATACGACCACAATTTAATAACATTGCATCCAGCCTGTACTAGTTGGAATTGAATCATCAATTGACCACTGACCTTACGTCGCGGAGATTGCGAGTGTGTTATAATTTAATTTATGTTCTCTATCGTTCGGATAAGTTTCAGATTGCTTTCCGTATTAATTAATAGTTTAGAAAATACCGCTATTGCGGTATTTTCTAAATGAAGTCAATAATATATATATAAATAATGAGTCACCTATGCCGGTAAACATTATATTGTCTATTGGACAGAATGTTTAGTGCAAACAAAGCAAGCGAGCTCTACCAAAGGCAAGTTTGACGTCAAATAATAGGCTTTATTATCGGATAATATAAATAACATAACTCATAAATGCTTAAAATGCTTATGGCCCAACCCACCTTCTTTTAATCTGATTCTACTTTGGGACAATTTATTTTCGGGACATTATTTTTAATTTTCTTAGAGATTATAAGAAATAAAGAAATTATTCTATAGCTACTAATCAAAGGAGATTCATTCCAATATTCATTTTTTTTATGAAGTTTGTTCGCGTTTATTAACACTGTCCTGTAAGATATGGTAACGATAGAATTTCGACCACTTGGCGAAAACTAGCCAATACAATACAGCTGTTTGTGCAAGATTACAAAGTTCCCCAAATGAAATCCAACTAGGCCATGGATATGGACTAAATAAAAGCCTGATCATTCATTTGTACACTATAGCAGTTGAACAATCGGACTGAGTTTGGCTTTCCGGCCGATTACAGCGTAGGCGTCTTCAAGGCAAGCCAGAATAGGCCTTTAGTGCCTAATACTTTCTTTCACAACCTAACGCAAGCCAGGTGATAAAAAAATCTTAATAAATAACAAGGGCAATACATACTGAGACTGCACAAATTTACTTTCCCTCAATTAAATCGTAATTTTTTTGAATATTAGTAATTTTAGAATGATTTCTAATGGCATTTTATACCTAACCAAAAAAATTACATCGAGTTCCACAGTTAAAAAAATATTTTTTTATCTTTTACTTCATCTCTTTGCATATATATTTATCATTTGAAATATTTAATCCAAATATCAGTACGATTCCGCGATTTATTTAAGAGAATGTAGAACTAAGAAATAACGACCTTATAGGTTGGCGTGAAAAGGAAGTGTTACACTTCTGCGTTCAGTCTAGTGAGTGAGGTAACCGGGGTGCACTTTTATAAAAGTTGGAAACGGATCTGCAACCCAATGGGCGTTGCAAATGTCCATGGGCGGCGTTTTTAGTTACAAAACGTTATAGTAACGATTGTTCGATACAACTTTGTATGTGAAAAGTTGCCATGCCAGCAGGCGGTTCACCTGATGTTAAGTGAATACCGCCGCCCATGGAAATCTGCTACACCCGAGGGTTGCAGATGCATTGACAACCTTTTCAAAATTGGACTCCGCACTGCCCGGACGAAACGCGAAAGTATTATACGATTACTTACACTACACGGCCACGCAGCAGCCTCGGCTGTTGCACGAATGAGCAGCCTCGGCTGTTGCACGAATGAGCAGCCTCGGCTGTTGCACGAATGAGCAGGCTCGTCTGGGTAAGTACCCTCACACGACCTCACAGAAGAAGTGGAAGCGTTACACTTCTTCGTTTCGTCTGGTCAATGAGGTATACACAGCCCACTATATTTTAAGGTAACAGCGTATCTGTAACCCAGGTTTTGCAAATGTCCATGGGCGGGAACCGCCAGCACAATTCCAAATACAAAAAAAAACTAAGTCCTTGCAATTTGCGCTTTCATTGTCCGCCGCCAAAGAATTCAATTTGCATGAGATAGCCTTTGTCACGATGTCACTTCTTTCACACGGCAATTTTTATCATGAACTACGAGATGTTTCATAAAAGAACCGTACATGGACATTGAAGCCGATTTTTTTAGTTGTGTTCTATTGAGAACATGTCAAGTGACCATAACTTAACCGTTGTCTTAGAAACTATTCTACAAATTGATCGTCGTAATTTTTTTATCTACTTTATTTATTATTTCTGAATCAAAAGGTATTATAAACGTATTCGTGTATGCAAGTTTTTTCGACGTAACGCTATCTCGGTTTTGTTAACATTTGAAATTTAAAAAAAAAAACAATTACATGTCTTTCTATTTTCTAGGAATATCAAAATATGCATCAATATCAAAATATGCAATTATATTAAATACATATCGCTGTTTCAAATTACTAACAGCAAATTATAATATGAATTTAAAACTTGTTAGTACCAATCACAAAGTAAACAAAGATATAGATATTACTAACAGAAAACGCATTTTTTTTTTTAAATTAGTTATAAAATTTATCACAAGACTCCAACAATGAGATGAGAGAATCATGTGTTAAATTATATTACCTGCCGTAAGACCAAAAGGGATTTATGTCTTAATAAAAACACAAAAAAAATTATCACGAAATAATTCAACGCAGTTGCCATTGAGTATTTTTTCGAAAGGGATAGGTACCTACTTACATCTTATATGGCAAAAGTTTATTAAAGATGACTAAATAAAACGAATTTTATAATATAAAATAAAAATAATTTTAAAATAAATGCAAAAACGATAAATGTTTTATAGGATATAATAGATCATAGTTTAAAAAAAATCTTGTGCAAAAATATATCAGTACGATTGTATCTAAACCATGTATAGACTTAATTAAAATTTAAAAAATGGTGCTCATAAATTCACCACCTAAAATAATATTAATAACAATTTGAATTTTGTTGCTACCTTATCTGACCATTAGAAAAATGTGTAATAAAAGGCTTACCCATCAGACAGTGCTTTGACCACGCCAAAATACCAACTCGTGATTTCGGTACACGATAAATAAACAATAAACAAAACCGGGTGATTATTTGTCAGTTCTTTATTGTTTTGTTTACATAATATAATCACATACTAAAAGTTTGTAGTTTTAAAGTTTTTTAACTTAATAGACGTAACGTGCTCTAACAGCGCGTGGTACAATTTTTCTGCCACCAATTAATACGTACCATATCGTGTTCAGCCAGCACCACGAATTTTATTGCCCGTAAATACAAAATAATTATTTTAATTAAATTTTAGTCTTTTATTCATAAACTATTAGTATCACATTTAAATATAAAAGCAGCCACTAAACACGTCTTTTAACGAAGCTCGCGTTTGCATTTTTTCCTTATACTTCTAGTTTCATACAAACCAATTCGTTCTTGTTCATTCATTTCAGTCGTTCATGATTGCAGTACGATACGCTGTCAGTTAAAAAGCATAGACTAAATAACGATCTTATTAATAGTATTTTTTTGGTAGTATAAAAAGTTTTTAAAATACATCGATCAAAAATTACAAAGCTTTTTTCCGTAACAAGCACTTTTTGTTGAATTGGTGACTTACAAATTACAGTTTTTAATATCTTAACTTATTTAGAATTGCAATTTATTTTTTTTGTTTTAATTTTATTGACATTCGTACAGTGGAATATTTTTATGTAGTTCAGCATGTTTATCTGTTGTGCTTAAAGCATATTTTTTAGCATATTAAATTGTGTCAAAGTCAATTTACGAAGTTCAATCTTAAATAATAGTTTACTTATCCATAAAACAAACGATCCGTTTTTGAGTCTATTTGAACCATGCCGGTCCAAACTCCAAAATTTAAGTACATCAACTGTTCGCTAATGTCATTACAATTAAAGGCGCTGACAGCATACAATGGGCGAAAAAAAATATATTTAATTTTTTTTTGTTACAAAATCTAAAATTAAAACAAGAGTTAATAAATTTAAAATATAATTGAAAAAGGAAATAACCGTAAAATAGTAAAAAACAGTGAATAAACAGTGCAATAAATTTAAGTATGATTTATACATGGACTAGTAATACTATTTACGTTTCTACAAGTAAGTGAGGTGTTCTCCTCACTTACTTGTAGAAACGTAAATGTAAGGAAATCTGTTTGACAATAAACCAAATGAAAACAGTTAAAAAGAATAAAAACAATCTGTGATTATTAAAGTAATTAAGTATTTTCGGAATATAATTTCAGCAATTCTTTCTTTAGCTTGGCGGCACTATCTGAAAACAAGTCCGTTGTTGAACTTCTCGAGATTTTATTTTAATTCCTAACCATTCTCTTTAAAGGTGCTTGCTGTCCAAGGTTGAATTTACATAAACAGTTCGAGAAAATATTAGATCTAGAGCGTCGGGGCCGCTTTGAGGGAACGGTAAAGTTTAAGAGGGACAGCAGATTAGGAGCATCAATAATACCGTTGGCAAGCTTTTACAGGAAGAGCATTGCCTTTCTATCGCTCAGAGAACTCATTCCGAAATATTCCAGTCGATCAGAGTATGACGTAATGGTTTTCCCTAAATTACACGAGTAAGTCAGGTGCCAAAGGAACCTTTTTTGAACGCTTTCCAGTCTTGTCACGTAAACATTATAATTAGGAAATGATGATGATGATGAAATAATTTAATATATCGAAAAATATTTCGTATCTAAAATATTTCCGATAACAAGTAAAACATAAATCTAAGCTTTGTTAATTATTCTTAAGCTTTTACAATTAAATAAGCTTTTATTTTTCCATTAAAAATGCATATAGCATATTTTTTAGCTAATTACGTCAGACTAATCAGATATATTTGCAAAAGTTTATGCCGTGGTTCATGCTATGGTAGACAGCGAGAGGGCATTTTGAGCTGTCCTTGCTTTTTGTGAGGATATAATCACCCGGAAGGAGGCCGCGGAGCGAGAAAGGGAGGCAACTGCCACCCTGGAAATCCGCCGCCGGAGACTAGGGCGCAGGAGGATGGCCTCATGCGCGCAACTTTCCCCCCTGATAGCGAGCTCTGGGGTGGCAGATGTGGGATTAACTGCTGCCCCATGGAGGGATCAAAGGTGCCGTGTCCATTGCACCGATACGGAACCATCTGGCAGGATCGGGTGTCCCTAACACCCCGGAGAGGTGGCTTTGAGAAGGTCACAGTCGCGCCGGGGTTCGCGGAAGATTGAGTTTTCGTGTTCCCGTGTCCCCGGCAAAAGTGATAGCGCAGGTGCAACGTGGGTTTATTAGTGGGTATCCCCGTGTTCCTGGGGACTCCCACATACCCTCGCTGTCTACCCACAAGGCGGCGGAGGATCTAAAGAATTTTTCTCACGTAAAAAAAAACTCTAGTTGGCAACACTGCATCCGTTTCGTCAACGTCATGTCATTGTCATTATCATTCTCATTTTCTCAATTTCTCATTTGTCAACTCAATTTTTTCGTTCACATTGCGGATTCCTGGCATTCTATTTTTGAAATTCAATTATTATTCCATAGAATATACTAATTAGCACCAAGTATCCACTTGTAATTATCAATCACTGATTTATTATTATAAATATTACAAAACCATGGTTAATTCAAGTCTGGCATATGAAATCCTCTTATATATAAACTCATTTTATTTCGGTCTTTTCGCCACATGCGAATTAGGTACACTTATTTTGAAATCTATATTGATCGGCAATAAGAATAACAGCGCTAGTTACTGGACGACAGTTGGTCAAGATTATGGAGTTTTAATGGGGCTTTTTATTGTAGAAGGTGCTAGACTTATACTGGGTCGCAAGGGGAGTCTAAGTGAAAGAGGTAAGAACTATTCAACAGGTACTTGACATAAACAATATATTTACCATTGTTTTGTGTGTATGGTATGACTTTACATTGACGACCGTTGAATTGAGGTGCAGCGGGGGGGTGCGGGAAAAGGGGAGAATGGGTTTTACCCCTCCCTTTAAATCAGGGGTGAGCAACCTTTTTAATCAATTTGCCAATATAAATTTCAAATTTTTTGGCGGACCGCACATAATTATTTACGAAACTTTATTTATAATAAATATTAGAATAAAAAAATATAAAATAAAAAAAATTTTAAGATTTCATATACAAATTTTAATGCAAGTTAAAAACAAGCAAAGAAAAACGAACAAAAAATATTTCTTCAGTATGTACTACCATTTTATTATAATTAATTTTATAACAATATATTGATGGGAGAAATTCGATAAAATAAATTCAATTTAAGAAATGCTTGGCGGGCCGCATAAACATATTTAAGGGGCCGCAAGTGGCCCGCGGGCCGATCGTTGCTCATCCTTGCTTTAAATAAAAAGTTGTGGAGACCCCCGATTATCGCTTTTATTAATATTTAATTTATTATGGGTTTTTTAGAACTAAAAAAAATATTTGTAAATAAAACTCACTAATGAAATAATCAACAAGCAGAGTTCTCCGGTCGCTTAGTTTTCGAGATAAAAATATTTAAAACTTGTTATTTCCACTACTTAAATCCACCATCATCTGCCACATAAAAAAAATCTTTAACATTACTAAAACTACCGTTGCACTAATGTTCTGAGCAATAATAAAAAATAACCACAAGGCTATGGCGGGAGATCCGCTCTCGCCTTAACCTTTTAACCTAACCTATATGTGTCTGACCTGCGGCCTGGATCCTTGCGGGCTGTACTAAGGTACTGAATAAAAGTTAAGTCTCAACCACAACTTAACTAATAGCCTTACTAAATGTATACAAAATTAAGTTAGTTTTACTGAATATATATTTATGAAATACTTTATTCATTTCAGATATACCTGTGATATTCTCTGTAATTTTGACAGTCCCGTCAATAGTTGGTGTAGTGTACCTGTTAAATTGGCAAGTGGTGGTTCTACGAATTGAGTACATCTGGTGTACATTGATGCTTACCATTCAAGTATTAGAGTTCATATTTGCATCCATGTTCATAGTTACTATGTGTCGTGGCCCATCATATGACTGAAATAATCATATGCCTTTAAAAGTATATAATTGTGCTAGTCTAGTCTAAAACACAAAATAATAATCAGGTAATATAAAAGTGAACTAAATCTTACTCGCAATTTGAATCAAATTTACTTGAATCTTTATTCTGCTTTATACAAAGTATGCCCTTTATTGTAATATTTAATATGTGTTGTGTGCTCTTATATACTAATTGTAAAAGATTTTTATACAAGTGTGGAAATGTAACATATTAAAAAAATTAAGTAATTATTAAAATTGAAAATGAAAAATCCATATAAACCAAAGCTATAAATAATTTATGTATGTGAGGTATCATTGAATTTATTGGCCATGGTATTTCATATATGCTTGCTCTTAATTTTGAGTTTAATTCACAGTGACATTATCAATAAAATTGTTTATTGTAATTAAATGTTAATGGAAAATATTGTTAGGACACAAAATTTTGATAACACCACCACATTAAGTTTTTTTTTTTCACAAATTGTAGTGCAATTTGCTATTAATTCAGAGCATTGGTGTTTTATGGTGTACTTTGTAAACTAAGGAGGCACTGCCCAGCAGTGGGACATTGTACATTACAAGCTGTTACTATAAATTTAAGCTAGAACCAAGCACTTCCTTTCATATTATTTTCCTTATTTGTTTTGTGTAACATAGATTCAATAGAATATACACAAATACAAGCAAAAGTTTTTGCTTGTATTCTTTAATGCACAATTAAATTATAATTTAATTTATAATTAGTTGGAACAATCTCTTCATTTTTAATGGCTCGATTGTGAGTTATAATAATTCCCCCAATCTCAACTTGTTCTTAAAACTCTCAATTTTATAATATTCAAAAATCCACACTGCAACAATCTCAAGGTACAAATTATTAACATTTGTCAAGGGTAATTTTTTAAATTTGTACCAATGAAATTCAATTGTTTGCTGTAATGGCTTTTTGGCTTTTACTGATCAATAATTATGCCCATTCAAAAAAAATTACTAAAACTGCATTATCTGTATGTCTCAAATTATATAAATAATTAAAATATGTTAAGCAATAAATATAATAATATTACTCCTGCCAATATTGCCAACAAGTATAATTTTTTATAAAATGTGATGAATGACTATTTAAGGCCCATTTACACGATGCCATTTTCTTGTACATGCAAGAGCAATAATTGAATGCAATAAATTGCGCGCAATAATTGGTTAGACCATTTGTTGTTTAGACCATGCAACTTATTTATTGCTTCAATTTAATTGTATACAACAGGCAAGAAACTGGCACCGTGTAAATGGGCCTTTATACTTATCCTTAAGGCCCATTTACACGATGCCATTTTCTTGTAAATACAAGAGCAATAATTGAATGCAATAAATTGCGCGCAATAATTGACCATCAAGAATTGTAAGCAACAATTTACACGCACATATAGTAAAAAAAAATTGAATGCGATTATTGTATGCAAGTCTTGACAAGAAATAATTGCAAATGTCTTTTGTTTACACCAATGCAATTATGTTTAGGCGATTATTGCTTTCAAGTTTTGACTTGTCTAAACACAAATGCTTGTATGTGCGTGTACAATTTATTGGCGTGTTGCTTCAAGTATTGCACGTATTTGCGTTGACAAATATTTCATTCAAGTGTTGAGCGTTTTGAAAAGGGCTGTTTATTTTTAAAAAAATGGGTTAATAATAAGTGTTCAAGTTAGATTATGCCGATTTAATATATTTCATTGAGATATATTTATTATTATCCATATATTTTTATTCATTTTTTTGGCCAAATTTTTTTACGACCTTTTCTCAATATTTCTATCCTCAAAAGAACAGCCACGATTAAATACCCTCACTCATTGCACTATTTTTTTTTTTTCACAAAGGAAAAGAGAATGCAATTGAATACAAGAATTGCTTAAGAAATTATTGTGTGTGCTGTTTACACCAAGGAAAGTTTTGAAACAAAACTTGAAGCAAGTCTCGTTCAACAGTCAAGAATGTTATGTGCTGTTTAGACAATGCAACTCATTTATTGTTTCAATTTAATTGTATATAATAGGCAAGAAAGTTGCACCGTGTAAATGGGCCTTAACACTGTAATATAAATTTATCAATAGTATCTGTGAAACCCATCCTTATAATCGTAAGTGATAATGTGGCCTTCTTATAGAACATATACAAACTCAAAATTCTTCCATTTTGACTTAGAATCCTCAATCATAGATATTTTTAATTGTTTATATATTGTAGGATTATAGGAACCATTTACATGTACTGCGTTTATTAAAATAGAAGTGTCAAATATTTTATTAATTAAGGTTTTAACCAAAGTATAAAGTGTTCTAGTCCATTGAATTATTTATAGTGAATATATTACACTACTTGAATGTTTGTTACAGTGTTTTATTATTTACATCTAAATTTAAAATTACTTTTGGTATTCTGAAAGTTTTTTTTTTCGCAAATTGTAGTGAAATTAGTTTGATGGCTTCGACATTATGAGGGCAGACATAGTTCCGGCTATTGAGGTCGGACCCCTTAAACCATAAAGCAGGTCTGCCGTGCACCACGTTTCTATCACCTCTGCATTGCCAGTCCGAGTCCCTTAGAATAGAGAGAGTGACAAAACGCAATATCAAACACTCGCCCTTCCGCTGTGTCTCCACTTTGTTGTAATCTCTCCTACTCCGTACCCCTGTATGCATTCAGAGTAGGCTCAACAAACTTGTAATTTGGGCTCCGGCAACCTCACTTACCTACCAGACGAAACGCGAAAGTATTATACTTTCACATTATGCCGATCTTCTGTGAGGTCATGGTACTTACCCGGACGAGCCTGCCCATTCGTGCAACAGCCGAGGCTGCTGCGTGGCCTGACCCTACCACAAATCCTCTCCGTACCGGTGGAAGCGTCTTGACAATCAATAAATAAGTGTAATGTTTCTATATTGAATAAAGTTATTTGACTTAGCCGTGAGGGACCATATCATTGCTGCCAAGACGGAATTCCGATCAGAGTGGTCTACGGTTCATACTGTATGGTTATGGCTTTACGCCATCCTATGCAATGAACGTCATCACTTTAACAAACAGTGGTTATTGCATCCGTGTTATCGGATGGCCGCCTGGACTTCGTTCAAACGATTATCGCCCTAAGGGTGGAACACCGCGAGTACAGGCGACTGTACATATGTCCATATTTTTATTTAATCAATGAGTTTACTTGTGTGCCATCATGGCAGGGAACCTCGTATTTGAACCCCTTGTCATCCGTCTTGTCCAATATTAAACCACACCGATAACGGGCCATACAAATACTTCAATGATTGCGCGTTCTCCTGCTTTTGTGTCTTCTAACAACGTAAAAACGTGAAAACGTAAGTTTTAAACTTAAAATATTAGCCTATAATGAATATTGAACGCAATGTAATTGCAGATTTCAGTTGTATGAAATTTAAAAACTTTGTTAATTTTTTTCTCGTAATCTAGCGGTTTTCGTGGACTATAACTTATATAATATTTCATTTTTAGCATTTCCCTATCAATTGAAATTTTTTTTCTAGCTTGAAAAACGAGACGTACTATTTGAAATTTTTGCCCTTCATCGATCGGATGATAGTCACCAAAGAGAATGTAATCACTACGTTTAAGAGACGGGACTCCCATACTAGCCAAAAATATCAGTTTACGCGGTACTCTAATACCAACCATACCACAAAGTAGAAGTGGGCGATACAAATCGTATCAGATATGAAAACTAGATATTAGTACAATATCCCAATATCGCTTACTGGCTCGTTCAATATCTATGTATTTTACAATATCTGATATTTCCGAAATCTGATGTACCGTGCTCGCTCGCTATACCGACACGAATCGCGATACGGCGATATCATACGCGTTTGCCACAATATCTGATTTTTAAACAGATTTCGAGAGACAAAGCGCGTGAGATACAAATACTCACTAGTTAGAGCGGGACGGCAAGCAATGCACGATATCAGATATCGAGCGACAAAGCGCGTGAGATATAAACACTTACTAGTTAGAGTGGGACGGCAAGCAATGCACGATATCAGATTTTTAAACAGATATTATGAATAAGTTAAGTAATTTTGAATCTTAACACCATGCAAATAAGATCCGTTTCATTTAAATACTAATCTTGGTATCAGCGATTACTACAACGATATTATTATATTTTTTATTGTTTTGTTTAGCCTTGAGCCGTAACGGGCGACAAAGCGCGCAGTTAAGTAATTTTGAATCTTAACAGCATGGAAAAAAACTCTGTTGCATTTAAATACGAATTACGGTATTAAGGATGTCTTTGAAATTTTGTTCAGCCTTGAGCTGGATTGCATTGGTACCTATCACGTAATAGTAAGGGATGCCAACTTACTACTTAAGAAATTTTTCTGCCTAAATTAAGGAAGAAAAATATACAATGGAAATTTTTTAAGAGGTAAATTTTCTGTGAATATTTTTATTAGCTAAATTTTATTCATATTTTTGGAAAAAAATAAAAGTACACAAAAAGAAAACTATATAATTTAATGGTGCTGTGCTGCTTTGGTGGAAATCAGAACAAGGCTTATGTGCCTTGTGTGTATATTTTAAATTCTTCCGCCCTAAGCTATAATACTGAATGTATTATTTCTTACACAAATAATAAAAATATTGCCACTCGATTGCGTGTTCTAAAAATATGTTAAAGTCAATTATTAATCGGTATATAAGATGTTAAAATAAATCATTTTTATATTACTTCAATTTATATTTTTAATGAAATTTTTAATTTAATAATTTAAAAAAACGCATTTTTAGTAAGACAGGGTTAATTATTAATGATCGTCGAAGAAGACTTTCGACGAATAAAGTCAGAGAGCTTACGTTCCTAAACGTGAATTTGAACCCGGAGGGATATAAATAATTATTAACCCTGACATAATTGTAAATATATAATGTTAAGTTTTAAATATAAGGAAAATT